TGAGGTTGAGTGGACGGGCACCCTGACTGACTGGGTGAGAAGGAGAGGGTGGGGGGAGAAAGGGGCGCCTCTAAGAAAGCCAGCTGGGGACCCGGGGGGGGGGGGTCTGTTACAGAATCCGGGGCTCTTCCCGGCCCTACTTCAGGGACTGCATTAGGGGTGATTAATTCATGGCCAAGTTACTTTCTGAGGAAGGTTACTACAGATGCATCAGCATGACAGGTGGGGCGTGGGGGAAGAAGGCCCAGCGTGTTCAAGTCAGAGCTGAATATTAGATTCTAGTCACTGCTTGATTGATCTTTTAAGCAATTCTGGGATTCTGTCACTTAAAAACCAATAAATCTTTGAAGGCCTGGGGAAAGCAATGCAAAAGCAATAAATCTCTATTGTGGAGCATTAGAAATATAGGCCAAGCTGCCGACGTGGTTTGGCTGGAGAGATGAGGGTGCGGGAGCCCACAGGGCAGTTTTCCCTCCCCACCTCCCCTCCTCGCCTCCGGGCCCGATCAATTCCACCAGAAAGTCAGACCCAAAGGGCTCCCAAGGGGCAGCAAGGGGCTGAGCATGGACAGAGCCCTGCTGGTGAGGCCTGGGGGCTGGGGCTCAGCTATGATGCTGTTTGAGGACAGGCAGATCGCACCCAGAGAGAGACATGCTGAGGTTCAAGTTACAAACTCACCCACACAGCCCAGAGTGAAGGGCCCCTGAGGCCTCCTTTGCCTCCCCCTCACTTCCGAGTTGATGGCAGTTCCCTCACCAGCATCCCCACTGAGTGGTTACTCAGTCATCACTTGAGGTCCCAGGCATGGGAAACTCAGAACCTTCTAGGGGAGCAATGAACGCAAAGGCAGGAAGTGAGGTCCCTGTCCTGCTGTACAGGTAACAAGCTTGGTGACCTTGGGCCAATCATTTCACACCTTGATTACAGCTTCGTCTTCAGAAATGGAGATGGTGTTTCCACCCAGCAGATCTACTGGGTAAATGGCAATCGGATGATACAATGAAATTAAAGGAACTATCAGCTATGAATAGCATCCCGGGCATCCTTGACCCCATGCACTTAGTAAGCTCTTCATGTGCTGCAATCATGGCCTTTGTTGTTTTCTCAATTCTCCTCTTCCTTGACCTGCGGGACTCCACATGGGCCCCCTGAGGACAGGTATGTGTGTAACCCACTTACATCCCGCTCCTGGGACACAGCAAACGCTCAATTTGTTGAATGACCTAATGGTCAACTATCTCCCAGCTGGGCATCCTAGTGCCCTGACCTCAAGGTGGAAAGAGCTAAGGTAACGGAAATCTATTGTGATGGAGCCACTGCTGTCGTTGCGAGCTGCCCTGAAAGACTTGCTGGGTGGCACAGGTTAGTCTCTTGCCCTTTTCGTCAAATGCCCAAGCACCAGTCTGAAAATAATTCCGAAAAGGAGTGTGCCCATCCTCAATGATCCAGAGCCTTGGGAAGAAACGCAGCCAGACCTCTTCACACCCGAAGCATTGCCCCTTTGAGCAGTGACATTTATTTTCATTTTTTCCCATGGCAATGCCACCAAAATATGTCATGCCCAGCTTCCTCCTAGGGAGGTGCTAAGGTCTAGTGGAATGAGGGTTGACTTAGGGTCAGTTTAAATGCTGCCCACACCCCTTGCTTATTTTGTGGTCTGCATCAACTCCCTGGGGTATGTTTATCTCCGTTCCCATGACTGCAAAATGGGGAGACTTCTCTTGCCATGTTGTGAGGATACAGTTTATCTATGGTGACAGGCATGCAGCAAGCCCTTGCTCATTAGATGAAAGCTAGCAGGTCCTTTGCACTTGAAGACATGGAGCCTCATGCTAAATTTCTGGGGGTAAGCCAGGAATAATGGGTGAACAACCATGGCCGTGAGGAGCTGCAGCATGCAGACCTCCTAATTTCTTGAGTCCCTGTGTCAGTTTTATTGAGTTCTCCTGTTTTGTTTTGTTTTTTTTTTTGCTCCCTGCCAACTGTCATTTTTCACTGCTCCCAGGCACTTTCATTCCCACCTCTTAATTTACTGTGGTCTTAGGATGCATGAGATTACCAAACAGATGGGCAAGCTAAGAGCATGCAGGCTCAGAGGAAAGTGCAAGGGGCTTCTCTCTGTGGGAACTGGAAGAGCTTTCCCAGGAACGCCTGTTTGGGCTGCTCAGAGGTCCCCTTTGCTGGTCTCTGGAGGCAGGCAGGCCTGGATCCTAGTCCCAGCTTCATCACTTGCGGGCTCTGTGACTGAACTTCAGCTTCCTCATTTCTAATAGAAAGATCCTACTCTTAGGTTAGTCAAGGTTAAATTCTGGGAACACAGTAGTTGCCCAATAAAACATGGTGCTAATGACTCTGATGAGTTTTCAGAGTTTCATGGACATATAATCTGGTTTATCCTAGTCCTCTGTACAAAATTTAACTTTATGCTGCTGGACCCATATTGCTTATTTCTCAGTACAATTTTAAAAAAAAAAGTTTTTTGGAAACTTTGTGCTGGAAAGAAGGTAGGGGATCTTAAGGAAAAAAAGCAAAGGCCTTCCATCCCCACCATAGAATCAGGGTCTCGAAAAGCTTTGAAAATTTGAATAGGAAAGACGCAGGCAACACTGACCTGGTGGCAGGACAGATTTTTCAAAATCCACTTTGAGCAGACCTTCCTAAGTTCCAAAGAGAAGCAGAAAAGCCAACGAAGAGACTTACTCTGACAGCCTGCCTTGCTGTGGCTTCTATATTTTATTTAGCCTCTGTGGAATCATTACCCTCCATACTTTCCAGATAAGCAAACCTCAGGCTCAGAGAGATGAAGTATCTGGTCCAAGGTTGCACAGCAGTGTTCTGAACCCAGGCTCCCTGTCACTAAGCTCCCATCCTTTCCATTGCCCCATAGAGAAGGCTGAGGGGAGTGGACGGAATCCACACCCCCAGGAAGCCACCGCGGAAGCCAGGTGGCCAGGTCCCTCTGGAGGTAGTTTTGAAGGCTTGCAGCGTGAAAGGGGATGCCTGGGTCTATTGTGTAAAAGTCCTGGGTGTGGGGTCAGCTGCGCATGGATTGTGCAACATGGGATACACTGTTTCTCGTTTCTGGGCCTATTCTGCCATCTGGAAAGCTTTCAAAGATGTTGAAACATGACCAGTGCTGCTTCGTGAAAGAGGCACAAGCTGTGAAAGGGAGGCAGGCAAAGGTGGCCGAAGTGCAACATGTGCTTTAGCACCTGGAGGACCTGGGCTCAGTCTCAACGTCCCTGCTTATTGTCTGTGCGCTTGTGGGAATTTCTGAGCCTGAGGATGAGAATAATAATATCTGAAAAGGAGGATAATAATATCTCAGTGTATAGACAGAACTGAATGACAGTATACGACAGTAACAGGAACAAAAGCAAGTAACTCAGCAACTATCTATTTGGTGTAAGAGCCACCAGCTGCCTGGGCTCACCACAGCCAGGTCCTGCAACGACCTGTGTACAGGAGACAAGGCAGAAGTTCTCAGCTCAGGTGTCCCACAAACACTACACACGCCTGTTGCAAGGTCTGAAGATTCACCTGACTTAGAACAGAACATTGTGCAAAGCCTACGGAATTGAGGGGAACTTCCTAATTGCGGGCAACTGATTGGATCTGCTGCACTGCCTATAATTTCTGGGTAGAGTTGGATCCAGGTGGGAAAACAGATAACGAGCCCATCCCAATAGCCTCCTTCCTGGCTGGTCTCCTAGTCTCCAGTTTCATAAAAGTCACACTGCATCTGGCTCCCCAGGGCTCCTCAGAGAAGCCCGAGCATCTTAAACATGGCCCCACCGCCACCCCACCACTGCTGCCTTCACCTTTATGCCGAAGCAGACGGAACCACTCCTGGCTGCTCCCAGGACAGCAGGCTGCGTTTGTCCCCCATGCCTTTGCTCACGCTGGATCCTCTTACTGCTTTGGCAAAATCTCATACAACATTTAAGATCTAGCTCAGTGTCACCTCCTCTGGCAACTCTCCCCTCCGAGCCCTCATCACGACCCAGGCACATCTCCATACGCATGCGCTGTGTTGTAATTATCTTTTCATGTGTCTGTCTCCCCAGCGACAGTCTGGCTTTCTTTCGACCATGGCTAGTTCACTGCTGTCTGCTAAGCAGTTAGACAGCCCCTGGCACAGAGGGAGTGCCCCATAAATACTTGTTGAATGGCTAAGTAAATGAATCGTTTTTATCCCCTGTGGCCCTCCCCATTCCGGGCATCTAAGGTATTCAGTGCGTGCTTGTTGAACTGGACTGATCCCATCTGAAAGCTGTTTCACCCAACACCCAGCTTGATTTCAAGGGACTGCCGTCCTGTGATCGCTGAGCAAAGCTGGCAGTCAAGCTCGGAGCTGCTGCCCCTGTGCAAAGTGTAGCTGGTTTAAAAGAGATGCCCGCCTTCCTGGTAGCCACGCGCCAGGACCTGGCACTGGGGCAGCTCAGCCATGGAGAGGCTTTCATCGCCTGGGCCATAAGCATGCTCCTGACCCCCAGCAGCCTCTTGCGAAAATCAGCAGTAGGGCTGGGACTTCAAGCCCCAATGGGGGACCCTAGGACGCTAAGGCCCTACGCTAGCCCAGCCCAGAGGTCTGGCCCCATTCATGTCTCTGAGCAGGCAGGTTTCAGAGTTCAGCAAGTCTGCCCATTTGTCTGCTAATGCCAGTCAGACATGGAAAGATAATCTGGGCAGGAGGCTCAGTCTCCAGGCTCCCAACCCACTAAATAAATTTACTGTCCATGTGTTCCAGAAGGTTCTCTCCCAGCCTCCTCAGGTCCGCCTCGGCATGCTCCCTCAGAATCAGTTCCAACACCCATTGTGCAGAGAGAGGCTCCTGGCTCAGGGGCCCCCTGAACTGGGCATGGGCTGCTGGCCCTCCTCCTCCAGGAAGCCTGGCTCCTGGCCAGTCCGGCCCGGGCATTGATGGTGACACGACTCAGTGGGAGGTGTCCTGGTGCAGAGAAGGAAAGCTGTGAACTCTCGGCGAAGGCACCTCCTACCTGACAGGGGCTCCCCGGGATTGAGCAGGCTTCAGCATCACCGTGATGGTCGTGTCCGTTTCGTTGAGTGGAGTGTCTGTGTCATACTCGGGCATCGATGGAGCTGGGCAGAGAACAGAGAGAGCGTGGAGCTCAGCACAGGTCCCAAGCCCCACTCACTGCAGTGAAATCCTAGACCACCCTGGCTTTGTAGCATTCATTCATTCATTCATTCCCCTTAAGGCCACCCCTAAGACACTCAGGATGACTGGAAGGAGGGTGTGTGGGGAAGCTTAGATGAGAGGCACATGGCATCCTAGGATTTCAGCGAAGAAGGTCCTGATCTCCAACCAGGCAGAGGGCTCCTCCAAGGTGCTGCAGAGCCTGGGGAAGGGTGGCAGTGATGTGGCCAGTAACCCTCAGCAATCAAAAAGTCCCACACGAATAAACAGATAAATGCAGGAAATGTAAGTACTCAACAAGGATGTGAGCGCAGTCAACCTTGTTAAGCACATTAAAAATGTAAATTACAATGGTGATGAGTGATTCTTTTTTTTTTTTTTTCCTCATGAGACCCTCCCTCTCTCATCCCCAGCCCCACAGGAGTGAAACTAAATCTGATCCCTGGGGAAGGTAATTTAGACATTTGCATTAAGTGCTATTAAAACCCACATCCCTTTTAATTCAGTATTTCAATTTCTGGAATTTAATCCCAAAGTTATAATCCAAACCGATGAATTAAACTTTATTCTGTAGCATGTTTATTGAAGCGTTATTTTATAAAATCATGGAAGCCATACATATATCCAACCACAGGGGAATGTTTAATTAAATTACGTCCGTCCGCTTGACAGAACATTATAATGAAAGCAATGTAGCAACATGGAAAATGCTTATGGTATAAACAGAAGTGAAAACATTAAGCTACCAAAAACACCATGGGTCTGTTATGCAAAATGTGTATCCATGCCAGCCAGAATTGCATAGACATTCTGAAACAATATAAATTGTAAAAAAGGCTCCCAGGTAATTCCGCCTGATGCTGACTGATGATGGAGGGGGCCCTACTGCAGACGGCAGGTGAAATCATGGACCACTGTGGCTTTGTAACATTCATTCATTCATCAGACATTTCATGAAGACCTCTGCTGTGCCCTGCCGTGCGTGCTAACAGGAATATTCCTGAAAATAAATCACATTTTTACAAGCCAATATGTATGAAAAAATAAAGTACTACTTAATGCAACTGTGTAGTCTAATTTTTGGTGAATCGCTCAGTACGCCCTCTGGTCCAATGAGTGTAACTTTTACACGTTAGGAAGTGTGTGGATTGCGTTTTCCTTGTGAGACTACAGAGGTAACATAGGAGGGGCAGCATCGCCTTGATCTCCAGTACTACATGGCGACTACTCTGGCCTTTCTTCACTCCCAGGAAAACGAGGCATGGGGAAAAGCAAAGCAGCAACCACTTTCTGGGAGAGATACCTGAGATTTTGGTGGCGATCCTTGTGGTGACGGGGGGCCCGAAGCCCTTGGCTGTGCTGGCCTTGATGGTGAAGGAGTAGGTGGTCCCTGGGTACAGACCCACAAAGAGGTGGTGGGTTTCGTTCCGGAGCTTGAACACCTTCCCCCTCTGGCTGGAGAGGTCGGCACTCGGGTCCAGGGAGCCAACAGCCTTGTAGTTGATCTGCACAACAAGCGAGCAAGCAAACCGATTAACCCCTCGCTCAGGAAGCTGGCCGGCACTCAGGTGGAGGGACCTCAGGGGAGGAAAGGAGAAGGCATGTGGGCTTGGTCAGTGAGTTCCGATGCTGCTGTCCACCTTACAGGTCACCCAGCCTCGAAACAAGCCACCGCGGGCGCTCTGCACCACTGCTGCCCAACGGAAACACAACCCACACCACAGACATGCAGTTTAGTTCCCTAGTGGTCACACTGAAATAGAAATAAAGTTAAAAAAATTAAATATTATATTTTGTCAAACCTAATATATGCAAAATATTTCAACCTGCAATTTACAGAAAGTTACTGCGATATTTTATACTCATATTTTATAATGTGAATACAGTCTATATGTATTCACATGAAGTCCTCAACATCTCATATGTCGTTTGCCATGGCACCTCTCCATTTGTATTGACACATTTCAGAAGCGTAGTAGTCCCGCGTGGCTAGCGGCCACCACCTTGGACAGCGCATCTGTAGAGCAGTGCTAGAGAGAGGCATCGCAAGAAGAATTATTTGGAAAGATAGTGAAAAATGCAGTCCTCGGCCCCTACAGCAGGTGGCATCATCTGCATTTTCTCATGCACTGCACTGCTTGTCTTCCCCCAACCTTGGGGGCATCAGGATACTTAATTCTCATTTTAGCGATGCAGAAACTGAAGCTCGGTTTGAAACAACTTGCATTAAATCAGCATTTCTCAACATATCTTTGGGGAAGGCCCAGTTCTGGGTTTCCTAACCCATTGCACTCTCATAATAACCCAAAGACCACATCACATGTGACTTGTCATGTGAGTCTGGCGATAGCCAGACTGGTCTACACTCTGTGCAAGAAGACATGCCCCTTGACCATGAACTTGGGTGTCACAGCAATGCCAAGGCACTAGAGATGTTTCTAGGTGCTCACGCTCAAGTTCTGAACTTATCTGCTGTGAAAGTAACAAAACGGTTGGCGTCCTGGCACTGGCCCCATGGATCACACTTTGAGTACCCATGTTTCTAAATTAAACATTTGTGAACGTGGCAAATACAGGCTTTTTTGTCTATTTTATAACAAATATATTTTATTGATTTTTTTTACAGAGAGGAAGGGAGAGGGATAGAGAGTCAGAAACATCGATGAGAGAGAAACATCCATCAGCTGTCCTGCACACCCCCTACTGGGGATGTGCCCGCAACCAAGGTACATGCCCTTGACTGGAATCAAACCTGGGACCCTTCAGTCCGAGGCCAACGCTCTATCCACTGAGGAAACCGGTCAGGGCTTGTCTATTTATTTTTTCTAGTTTGTTCTATTAAAATATATTATTAGAGTCTAAAACACACAGAAAACGCTACAGCTCAATGAATTTTTACTAACCGGGCACAGTTGTATAATCAGCAGCCAATTAAGAGAGAGGACATTATCAGCCCCCAAATGTCCCCCTCGCACCACTTCAATCCTTACCCACCACCTGTGGCAAGGCACCTTCTATCCTTGCCTCTAACAGCATACAGCTGAACTTCATAGAAATGGAGTCACACACAGGGTGCCCTCCAGTGCCTGGCCTCTGTCATGCAGCTACATGAAATGCACATGCAGCTACAGACGGTGCGCTCTCGTGGTTCCGTATTCGGTCACAGGCCCAGGATCACCCCCAGGCCCCTTAGGCTCGAAAACCTGTGCTCTTTATTCTGTATCCCCCTGCCCCACAGGGAGTCACACTGCATCAATGGAAGGGCACCTTCATTCATTCACTTAGTGCTCCTTCACAATGTTTCCCATACACCCCTGGATTCTAGGACCTGCATCGGGTGCTCCTGGGGCCCCCAAATGAACGCAAGTTAGACCCCGTCCTCAGGGTCCTCTCTTCTAGAGCGAAGTAAGTCACCTACATTGTTCTGTCCTCCACCATGAATGTCCTATGCTTGACAGGAAGGCCACACTCAGGCAGAAAAGGGAACGCACCCACTTCACTTCAAAACTAAGCAGTTCTCTCTTTCTGGCAAGGGTATCAAATGCTTTCGGAGCAAGAGGTAACTTTTCTCTCTTGTATGAAGCGCCGTAGCAATTGAGACCACGTGTCTAGGAGAGAGACCAGATTCTGCCTGGAGCAGAGTGAGCCCAGGAGGAGAAATGCCCAGAGTTGAAGGATTTGGGCATTTTGCAAGCAGAGCCTGGGCAGGTCCAGCCCTTGTCAGGCAAGCGACACATGTCTGCCTCTTTGCTTGAGGGCTTTGTGCTTAGGCGCTGGCAGGAAGTGCCTGGCAGTGAACAGCCACTGGAAGGATGGGAGGTGGGTCATGCCTTTCCCAGGCCCCTCTGGCCTCTGCAGCCCCCTAGGGGACTTCCCCATGGGAGATGCTCCTCTGGCCTCCACAGGGAGCTGGCTGGGAAGCATACCTACCACCGGCTACCTTCCTTTCTCTTCCCCACCCCCTAGTGTCTCCCAAACTTCTCAATAATCACTGGTATTCACACCTTAGTCTCAGGGGTCTGCATCTGAGAAACACTGAACTAAGACAACACAGGGGGTATTGCAGGGCAGAATTGAACTAATGCCCCAGGATGATAGGGATTCGGAGCAGGGGACAGAGTGTTCTAGGTTCTGGGCTGAGGGAGCTGCCTGAGTAGAGGCCTGGGTGGGAAAAGGCTCGTGAGAACGGAGGAAAGGCCAGTGTGACTGCAGACTGGTGAGCAACTGGGGGAGGTGAGGGTTCAGTGTGGGCTGGACTCCAGGTGTCCCCAGTGGCAGAAGGAAGAGCAGGTTCAGAAAACCCTGCCTGTGGCTGGGAACCCCAGCCCACAGGGGGGAAGGCATGCATATGCATCCTTTTGAAATCTCCCCCTGGTCCCCCTGGCTGGGCTGGTGGCAACTGCATTGATATACAGGCACTGGGAGGTAAAGCTCATGCCTTATTTACTAGCCAATTCCTTTCCTGCCCTCCAAATTCAATCCAGAAGCAACTCAATTTCCACTGAGCTGTCAATATAATCTACCGTGTTCCCCTGCTCTCCTAACCTTTCCTGGTATTACAGGATCCTCACTTACTTGTAATGAAACAGTATGAATAAATCAATGTATGTTAATATAGCGTGTCTTCAATTTTTTATGGAGGGCTTCACCAAGCCGAATCCCCGCTGCTTTGTCAGAAACCGTCTTTGAAAAATTTAACTTGCAAGTTTTATGAACTGGCAACTTGTGGGGGTGGGCTCGGGCTGGGGAGGGAAAGGAGAAAGGTGAGAAAAATGGAATGGGATGGAGCTGTGGCCATAAAATACATAATACAATGTGAATCTTCACTTGGAAGAGGAGAGAGAGAGAGATTTGTTGGAACAGCAAACATAAAATAAAGGGTGAGTCGGGCAAAAGGGTGCTGAGCTGCATGTCGACACGGACTCCAGGGACTGGGCTCTGGCTGCAACAAGGTGAATGAGGCCACCCAGTCTCTTCCGGTCTCCATCAGTGGGATCCCTAGCCAGGAGCCAGAGCGAGGACTTCAAAATGAGAATCTAATCACGTCATCCCTTAGAATCCATAGCTCTCCGGATTCAGACCACATTGTTATCCCATGTTATCTTCATCAGCTCATGCCATGAGTTGGCCTCTCTTGGGCTCCCTCTTGCAACCGAGGCCTTATTACAGTGTCTAAAACGAGCCATGGTCCTTTTTGCTACAGGACCTCGGCACAAGCTATTCTGTCAGCACAAAACACGGCTTTCCTTCCCCTCCCTCCCTCTCACCTCGTTAATGACTCCTCATCCTTAGATCTCACTTGAAATGACACTTGTCATGAGCACCTTCCCTGACTCCCACATCCTCCATGTACCCAGAGTCACAACTTTCCTCTTTGAACTGTGAATGTGGATTTTACATTCAGCCATGCAATTATTTCATTGTGAGTCCCTTTCCCACTATCCCAAGGTTTGCAAAAGTAAAGCCTTAAAGCCAAACTCGGCCCCTAATCTGGTTTTGTAACTAGAAATGTATTGTAACACAGCTGTGCCATTCACATATGCTTTGTCTTTGGCTGCCTAGACACGACAATGGCAGAATTAAGTCGTTGTGACTGAGACCCTGTGGCCCACACATTCATGAATATTTTCTCTCTGGCCCTGTGTGGAAAGCAGTGGATGACTCCTGTACTAGACTTTAAGCTCCAAGAGAGCAAAGATCTTATCTGGTTTTTCTTCCATATTTCTTCCTTTTGCATGGGTAAGTGAATGATCAAACTAGCCACGTGGCTTAAACCATTTGCTTAACCTCTCCGAGTCTTGGGTTCTTTAAGGGTTAAATAATAATTTTAATGCACCTTTAGCCTTTGCATCACGGCTCCATCAAAGGAGCAAAGAACAAGTTGCCCCTCTATCCTGAACTGAAGAGGCAGGGACAAGAGAGGCAGGGAGAACAGAAGGAAACCATTTCCCTTGAAGAGCCCCGTCAGGAAGGACTTGAACATGCGTAGATTGGGCCATGCTGTGCTCCAGGCACTGGGATCGGGACGACATAAGACCCTGTAGTCCCATGTTCAGATAGAGCAGCTGTCTGACAAGACTCAGGTTCTGAGGATGAGATGGTGCATGGGAGTTAAGGACAGATCGGAGATAAGGATGAGGGATGCAGCCAGGGCTCAGAAGCAGCTGATCAGAAGATGCAATCATGACAAAAACACCATTTGGGGCACTTGCTATGTGCGAAGCACTGTGAGACAGGGTTCGCATGAAAATCGCCTTGTTTAAGCCTCAAAAAAGGGTATGGATTCTTTATGGTTATTCCCATTCCTCTGCTGAGGAAGCTGAGGCCAAAGGAGGTGACATGCTCAGCATGTGAGCAGAGGTGAGGGCAGCTATGTGGGTGACCGTGTGGCCTGCTGGAAGAACAGAGGGAAATCCACAGCTTATGAAGTGTTCTCTGCTGCCTCAACTTCACCATCGTAGGTGCAGTGACGTGACAAAAACTTGGATAAGTCTATTCAAACACC